TATATACAATTTATCCAAATCGGTTCAGTAGTTTCTGATTTATAGCCTCTAGAAGGTACCTTTTATTTACTTCAAAATAAAGTAAAATTAACAGCCTGGCAACCCTGGAAAAATAAGTTTTTAAAATCTTGAATTAATTTCCTATCGGTACACGTAAAATTTATCCTAATAGGTTCAGTAGTTTTCGAGTTATAACGTGTTGAAAATCTGTGTCTGTTGCCCTCATTTTTTCGTTTGCAGAAAAACCATATACCCCACCAATAGATGGCGCTGTACGGATGTCGTGACAGGGTTACTGTGTTTTGGAAAATTGGGCAAATTTAGGGATTTTAAAAACTGCTAGAACTCCGTAAGTACTTGAGCGTTTAGGGTAAAAGTGGTGTCAAACGTTAGCTTGTAATTTAAGCTATTGTTTCATGCTAAATTTATTCCACCAGGGTTGCCAGAGTTGCGGAATTTTGTATATTGTAGTAAAGTTTTTTTGAATAGTTATAACTTTGGAAGTTTTTAAGCAATTGTAGTGATTTAAGTATTGATGGATAGCTGTTCATATAAATTAATCGTTTGAAAAAAATTATTTTGCCAGTGTTACCATAGAGTTAATAATTTGTAGGTTTCTTTGAAGAGGTATAACTTAACTATTTTTTGTGCTAATGTTGTGAGTGTAGTGTCAAACGAAAGCTTGTGATTGCAATTTTATATTTAATGGAAAATTATTTTACCAGGGTTGCCATATAGCAAGAAATTTGTAGATTTAATGCACTTTTTTAAATAGCTATAACTTGGTTTTTAAAATAGCTATAACTGTTTTTAAGACATCTATAACTCCGTAAGTACTTGAGCGTTTAGGGTAGGAATGGTGTCAAACGTTAGCTTATAATTTAAGCTATTTGTTTAATGTAAAATTTCTTCCACCCGGGTTGCCAGAGTTGCGGAAATTTGTATATTGTTGTACAGCTTTTTTGAAAAGTTATAACTTTAAAATTTGTAAAGCAATTTTAGTGATTTAAGTATTGTTGGAAAGCTATTCATTTAAATAATCGACTGATGAACAATTATTTTGCCAGTGTTGCCATATGGTTAAGAATTCGTAGGTTTAATTAATTTCATTTTGAATAGCTATAACTTTAATAGATTTTATGCTAATGTTGTGAAGGTAGTGTCAAACGAAAGCTTGTGATTGGAGTTTTATATTTAATGGAAAATTATTTTACCCGGGTTGCCATATATTAAGAAATTAGTATGTTTAATGCATTTTTTGAAATAGCTATAACTTCAATAATTTTTAACCTATTTTAGTAAAAGTAGTGTCAAACAAAAGCTTAGAATTAGTGTTTTATAATTTATAAAAATTACTTTGCCAGGGTTGCCAGAGAAAACATATTTCTAAATAGTCTTGAAGTTATAACGTTTCAAAGATATATGTTGAAATCTCCCCAAATCAGATAGTCTGGCAACTCTAGCAAACGAAACTAAATCTTCAATACATCCCCTACCCTTTAAAAGAAATCTGATCAAAATCGGTTCAATAGTATCGAAGTTATAAAGTTTTAAACATTTGTGTCTAACATACTCTAAATTCCGCTAGTCTGGCAGCTCTAATCAAATAATTTTCGTACAACAAGTAGCCTAAGCTACTATTTTTAAATTGCTCCAAATTTTATGCAAAACGCTTGAGTATATTTAAAGTTTAACAAATTTAAAAAAAGTTTATACAATAAAGATATTTAAGAAGTTTGGCAACTCTGGTGATATAAGTTTTTCATAAAGCAGATAGTATATATTACAAGCTAACGGGCGACATCAATTTCATTTAAATCACTCAAATACTTTCAGAGTTATAGCTATTTTAAAAATATAATTCGACTTACTATCCTTCCAGACGTACAATTTGCAAACATTTGTTTAAAACGGTCATAAAATAAAACAAATGATCTGGCAACTCTCTCGAAATTGTTTTTATTGATCTTTAATATGTCCTCCAACATCCAAATCAATCCCGATCGGAATCGGTTCAATAGTATCGAAGTTATAACGTTTTAAACATATGTCTCTAAAATACACTCAATTCCGCTAGCCTTGCAACTCTGGAAAACAAATTTTTTTTTAAACAAGTAACTGAAATCAATACCTTTCGATTGCACCTAATATGATGCAAAACGCTTAAGCGCTTTCAAAGCTTTATTAAGTTAAAAAATGTTTATACAATATATATATTTTCACAAGTTTGGCAACTCTGGTGAAATAAGTTTTTCATAAAACTGATAACTTATATTACAACATAACGTTTGACTCCACTTTCATTTAAATCACTCAAATACTTTCAGAGTTATAGCCATTTTAAAAATCCCTTATTTTACCCAATTTTTCGAAACACGGCAACCCTGTCACGACATCAGTACAGCGCCATCTATTGATGGGGTACATGGGTTTTCTGCAAACGAAAAAATGACGCCAACACACACCAATTTTCAAAACGTTATAACTCGAAAACTACTTAAAATAATTAAAATAATTTTATATGGACCGATAGGAAAATAATTCAAGATTTTAAAAATTTATTTTTCCAGGGTTGCCAGGTTGTTAGTTTGCTAATATTGTTAAGAAAATGAGTGGTACCTACTACAGGCTATAAATCGAAAAGTACTGAATTGAGATGAGTAAGTTGTATATAGATTTGTAGGGAACATATTAAATATTTCAAAAATTTATTTGCCAGGGTTGCCAGGCTGTTAGTTTGATTATATTTTCAATTAAATGAGTGGATACCTTCTACAGGCTATAAATTAAATTATACTGAACCGATTTTAAAAAACTTTATATATATTTGATGGTGATGGATTGAAGATGCCAAAAATTTATTTGCAGGGTTGCCAGACTGCCAATTTAATCAATTTTGATGCAATTGAATGACTAGAAAAACTTTGTTTATTTGATTTCAGCTTTTTCAATTATTGGTTGTAAACAAACTAAAAATCAGTTTTTCAGAGTCATCAGATAGTTCAAAACTAAAAACTTATCTTTATTCTGAGATCTGTTTATATTTTTTTTACATTTTCAGAAAATATTGCCAATTGTTGTATTACATGTATGATGTTTAAATCAGATCGCGTAGAAAACGTAATTTTTTAGTTTGAATCTTATGGCAACCCTGGAAATCAAAATTTTAGGGATTATTTTGTTAAGTTATCTATATACATACTTATTTGTACAGTATGAATAGTGTACTTTATTCAAGGAAAGATGGGATCACAAAATTAAAGCATGTAGAAGATTAAATTTGATTATTTCAAATTATGATAAAATTATAAGCCTGGCAAAACATTTTTCTTAATCCTTAATTCAGCTCCTACAAGACTATATACAATTTATCCAAATCGGTTCAGTAGTTTCTGATTTATAGCCTCTAGAAGGTACCTTTTATTTACTTCAAAATAAAGTAAAATTAACAGCCTGGCAACCCTGGAAAAATAAGTTTTTAAAATCTTGAATTAATTTCCTATCGGTACACGTAAAATTTATCCTAATAGGTTCAGTAGTTTTCGAGTTATAACGTGTTGAAAATTTGTGTCTGTGGCCCTCATTTTTTCGTTTGCAGAAAACCCATATACCCCACCAATAGATGGCGCTGTACGGATGTCGTGACAGGGTTACCGTGTTTTGGAAAATTGGGCAAATTTAGGGATATTAAAAACTGCTATAACTCCGTAAGTACTTGAGCGATTAGGGTAAAAGTGGTGTCAAACGTTAGCTTGTAATTTAAGCTATTGTTTTGTGCAAAATTTATTCCACCAGGGTTGCCAGAGTTGTGGAATTTTGTATATTGTAGTAAAGTTTTTTTGAATAGTTATAACTTTGGAAGTTTTGAAGCAATTTTAGTGATTAAAGTATTGTTGGATAGCTGTTCATTTAAATTAATCGTTTGATGAAAAATTATTTTGCCAGTGTTGCCATAGTGTTAATTATTTATAGGTTTCTTTAAAGTGCTATAACTTAACTATTTGTTATGCTAATGTTGTGAATGTAGTGTCAAACGAAAGCTTATGATTGGAATTTTATATTTAAGGGAAAATTATTTTACCAGGGTTGCCATATGGTAAGAAATTTGTAGGTTTAATAATTTTTTTTAAATAGCTATAACTTTAATAGTTTTTAAGCTATTGAAGTGAAAGTAGTGTCAAACAAATGCTTAGAATTAGTGGGTCATGTTTATTAAAAATTACTTTGCCAGGGTTGCTAGATAAGACATATTTCTAGTTGTCAAGTTATGATGTTTTGCCTTATGAAGTAATAACACTTGCTTGTTTAGGTTTTTATTGATATTTATTAAGTTTGTTTGTTTAAATACATAGTTTGTTGTTTGTTTTAGTTTAAATTAATGTATAATAAACCTTTAATTAAGGTTTTTAGCTTAACTAAATATCTTTTTGATAAATTATTTAAATAATAATTTATAATTTATTTATGATAAGGTTTTAGTTTAGTTTTTTAACATTTCTTGTTTAGTTTAAAAAAAGTAAAAATTATAAAAAACAACAATAAACAAAATAACAAAAATCAAAATAGTTTTAAATAAAAAGAAAGTGTTAGACTTAATGTAGGGATTATGCTAAAATAGTTATTAATTTTTATGTTTTTTTTTTTTGTAATTTTTGTATCTTTTAAAGATGTTTTTTTTTTTGTAATAAGAATATATATTTATATTTTTAGCTTTAGTTTAATTTTCTTAATAGGTTTTGTAATAAGTGTTTTTAACATGGTGTTGGTTTTGACTAATAAGTTCTTAAGGGATTACAGTTAAGTATAATTGTGTATAATAATGTTTGTTTTTATAAATTTGCTTAATATTTGAGGATCTTTTTTCTAAAGGTAAAACAAATTTGTCCTTATTTTTCGGTTTTCTATATTATTTTTATAAAATTATATTTTTTTAATATACCATTTCCCGGCATTTTTTTCAAATACAAATGCTTTTAAAATTTTTATTAATTTCTTATTGATATTTAATGTTTTTTTTTTTTTTTTCCAAGAATAATTTGCTATGTTCCCATTTTAGTTTGTTTAGTTAAAAATGGAAACATTATCTCAATGTTTAACCATGTTGAAAGGTGGATTTTTGAGATGAAGGGTCTGATTGCTTGATGTTTTCAAGTTTTTATAAAATTTTTTCTTAAATTTTGTTTTAATTAAGCTTGTCGTACAGTTTAATAATACTGTGTTGTTTTAGGTGTTTTTTTTTTTTTTTTTTTTATCAAAAAAAGTTTTGTTTGCTACAAATACTCTTATAGATTAAACAATATTTATATATTTTAATTAATGCTTAATTAATTGTAGTTTGTCTTAATTATTAAGCTACTTTCAAAACTTTTTAGAAAAAATTTTAATACTTAAACGTTTGTTGTTCAATTTTAAACTGTGGCCAAGTTTTTTGTCAATTTTCCCCAATTTGTGTTTTATGTCTTGATTGATTTATATGCTAAAAGCTTCAGAAATCTCAACAAAGTATAGAAATAGAGATTTCTCTAGTTTTCCATAGTATTTTTTTCCACAGGCTTTTGAAAGTTTCCATAAACCTAGAAAACTAATTTCTTTAAAACAATTTGAAATCGCTAAAAGTGAACGATTTCAAAATTTGTTTTAGTTTGAAAATTGTTTGATTTGAAAAATAAAACAATCAATTTCCACATCTTTACAATTTTAAGTTTTGTTTTTACAAAAAAATTATTTATGGTGAGATTTTCTTTTCGAATATTCGTTGTTTAGATTATTCTTAATAAAAAAATCTTTTAGTTTCAATTCATTTGCCAATTAATTTTGCTTTAGAATTTATAAAATTCTACATCATATCACACAAATTGTGATTTTTTAAAGGTTTTGGTTTTTAGTCTTATTTATAGTGACAATTTTTAGTTTAAAGTTATAAATAATTTGTGGTAATTTTTAAGTTAATCGATTCGTAAGAATATCATTCAAAGTACTAAAAACAAATTCGAACATTTTCGTAATGACTTTCGGCAAAATTCGAATTAGTAAGATAATTATGTCTACTTTAAAAACAGGTTGAAGTAGAGACTTTTGTTTTACAAATTTATATATATATAATAGATTTATACTAATTCATAACATATATTCTAGCATATAGCTTGATTCCAAAATAAAAAAGTTCGTATTGTATATAAAATACTTTGTAATTCAAAAGTAGTTTTCAATCGAATCGATTTACAATTTCGTATTTTATGTTAATTACTTTGCAAAAGAAAAATTTTATCCTTTATAAACAAATTTTAAGTTATTTGCCAAGAATTTATAAAATTGTTTAATTTTGTTAAAAATTATATTAAATTTCTTGTCTTTTTTGTATAAAAAACTTTTCAATTTTGAATTCTTTCTTTTTTGTATAAAAAATTTTGCAATTTTTAATATTAACTAAACACTTTATTTCAAAATCTTTACAACTCTTATTAAAACGGAAATTTCAATAAAATTTTGAAAAAAATTTGAAATTTTATATGAAATATTCTTACGAAAAGTAATAGATTTACGAAATCATATTTTAAAAAGAAAATTTAAAAAAAATTTCAAAATGTTTTTTCAAATTTTTATGAAAAATCCTTAAAAAGAGTTGTAGATTAACAAAATAAAGTTTTTTTTTTTGTAAAACTTTGAGATTTTGTTTAAATAAAGCTTGGGATTTATTAAGATTTGTGGTTAAAAACTATAGGTATATAAAAAAGTTGTTTGTTTAGAGCAGTATAAAAAGTTTAAAGTTTAAAAGTTATAGACAAAAAATATATATAAAAAAGTATTTACATAAGATTTCTGTTTCTGTGTTTTTTAGTAAATAATTTAAGAAAATGTCTAACGTTGTAGAAACAATTATATAAAAAAAAAATATAAGTAATTACTTTTTACTGCTAGCACAACGACGTAAATAATAACGTGAGGTATTAGCAGCAGCCGAAAGAAAACGCTTATCGGCAAAGCGTTTAGGCCAATTCTAGGATTCGTAGAGTAAACGTTGATAGTGGGGTAATATCTCATGCATAGGAACATGTAAACTAAATTCCAAAGCCACTAAAACAGCAAATTCTGAAGAAATTAATTCTTTGCGATTTAAACGAAAGACGTTTTCAGTTTTCTGCAAACAAAGAAAAAAGAAACTTATTATTTAACAATTTTAAAATATTTTTTAATTAAATTAAACATACCTCTATTAAACTTTTCAATAAATCACCCTTAACATCATTCATTTTGGCGCTGAGTAAAAGACAAGCACCAGCACATAATTTACGATTGGATTTGTTAATCAAATTGGCCAAAATTAATTTTTCAAAATACACATAAGCTTGGGATATAGTAACCAAATCAATGCGATTATCCATTTTATTAATGCGACGCATTTCACGTTTAATACTATAACAAAAACATTTTATTATTTAGACATTTCAAAAATTAACAAAAATTTATTTTCTCTTACCTCCTCAATTTACTTAAAGTCAATTGTATATGAGGAAATTTCTCTTTAAATTTATCATTAAGTTCCTTTTTCAAATCCGATGGTCTAACATAATCAATAACTGAAGTCATATATGAAGTAAATGTTAATAAAGTACGATGTTTGCCCGCTATTAGCTCGGGATCATCTAAAATATTTGCAGAATATTGTAAGTGCTGTAAAAGAAAAACAAAAAATATCAAGTTATAATCGTTTTTTTTATGCTTCCAAGATGAAAAACTTTACCTGTAGACTTCTGCTACCCTCTAAAGATTCTTCGTAATCAAGTTTTATATCAGGCGAAGGACTAGCTGTATTATTACGATTATTGTTGTCATAAGTAAAACACCTAGAATTTCAAAATATTTTATAAATTAGGTAATTGTGTATTAAAACATAAAATTAAACATTCAATTCTAATAGTTTTTAAAGGTTAGTAGTTTGTTGAAAGTTTAGTAATGAGATGATGATGTTGTCTATTTATTTAATTACCACTCTTTGTTATTTTCTCTACAAAAAAGTTATTTTAAAACAAAAATTTTGGATTTTTTTAGTTTAATTTAGTTTTTATTACAATTTTAGTAAACAATTTATAACAGAAACCGAAAGTATTAGTTTTGTATTTAAAAACCAAAAGAGAATTCTTTTAAAAATAATTTTGTATGAAAAGTTTTCAAAAAGAAAGTTTTTTTTTAAAGGAAATATTTAACTCTGTCGGTCTCTAAATAACATTACTACAACATTTACAGACAGACACTTAAGCCCATGAACATAATCAAATTTTAATTGTAACTAAGTTTGGTTAAACAAACTATTTTTTATAGAATTCATTTGCTAAACCTTTGATAACTTTAAAATTTGATTTTGTTCGTGGGTCTTTACAAATTACAACATTGTTTTTGTTTACCATTTGCCTTTATGTCGTGTCATGATTTTGGTTCTGTAAAATAAAATAAAGTTGAAAATAAAATAAACAGAACAATAATACGCAAAAATGTAAATAAAGTTGATGTTAAAAAGTTAAATAAACTACAAAACTACATATTTGAATACTTTGTCCAGAAAAACAAGTTTAAATAAAATTAAATTAAATTAAAAACTTTAGAACTTTCCAATTTTCGAACATATAAAAAGCTTATTTATATTCAGCAAGTATTTTAAAAGCTTCAAAAAATTTTCAAACATAACATTGAGTTTTCGAATTTTACTTCGACGATAACTTCGAAAAACAAAAATTAAAACTATTTTAAGGATTTCGAATGCAACTAAAATCCTGTTTTTAAGAATCCTCATGATTTAGAGACTATTTATACAGCTTTAAAAACTTTCGAGCATAACTTCGAATTTGATTTCGAATATAATATTACATCATTATCACTCATAAATGCTTAATTTTCGACTATTACTTAAATCATGTTGAAACTATTTTAAAGATTTTAAAGTTTGAAATTGAAAAAAAAACTGATAATGGGGCCTTTAGTCAGTTAGTTTGAAAGGAGGTTGTATGTTACACCTAGTACGAAGAAATAAATCTAGGCGTCCACGTTGTTGTTGTAAAAACTATACAATAGTCTAGTGGCGGGTTCTACAATAATGTTCAGGCCTAAAAATTGGGTTACTTGAACTACATGCGTCCATAAATCCATTGGACAGAGTGAAGTGGGGTTAGCCGAGCAGTTGAATATGTGGTGGGTGTCATGTAGACCCTGACCACATGCAGGACATTGGAGACTGCACGATCTACACGTGACAAATAGGAATTGAGCCTGTTGCTCCATCCCGATATTAGTTGTGAAAGAACTACTCTTTTATCCCGCGGTAGGTTATGGCGTCTCTGTGAATGTCGTTCAAAGCTGCCGTATACGAGGACTTATCCAATGGATCCTGCACATATCTGCATATGTTTTCCTTGTATATATCCATCCTGACATGCTTCGGGGGAGTATCCAACTGTGTATTGTTAAAGTTGGGATGACTCCTCCGATGACATCCCAGGCATTTCCCGACAGCCGGTTCTAAATACCGGAATGTCCCGAATTATTCGGCTAAGGGCTGTCAACCCCAACAACAACAACAACATCGGCGTCCATCAGTCCAGTTGATTTAACACATTATAACTCTTAACTTCTAACTAAACGGAGGCACACAATATAATGTTTTCTTCAGATTACAGCTCTTCTTGTTTTGAATTATGTTTTCGTCATCATCCGTTATGAATGAAAAGGTTCTTAGAGCTTCTTGAAACTCCTGACTATGACACTTTTGTTCAACATAATTTATAAACAATATCGCCGAGGTTTGTCTTTATCTTTGTTTCATTTAAATCAAGAGCTTTTCGAAACTATCGAAAGTATTCTGTTGTTGTAAGAGTATCTTTGTTGTTAGAAGTATTTTTCAATTAATAAAGATCTTGCTAAGTGGAGACTCTGTGGGCGATGAGAAATCGTTTCTTAAGGAGACTATTGTCAAAAAAAGACCTCACTTTCATGAATTCATCTTGAATCTAAATAGTGTAATGCTGAATGTTTTAAATTCTAAGACGTAAAAAATGTGTTAGTTTTGTATTTTAAAATACCCCAATATTTAAGTAGTTAATCTTTGAAAAGAAACTTAAATAGCAGCATTTGCAACTTAAGGAATTAAACAACAAAATATTACAAAACTTTTTACAAAAATAAATTCATATTTTTGATTCCTCAAACAAAAAACATGGAATATTTTCCATTGTTTTAGCAGAATTCCTTTATGTGAACATACACATTAGACTATAATAAAATTGTTCTTAAAATTAATTGGCCAAAAGCCAATAAAAATTTTATATAATAAAGGTATAACGAAATCAAAAAGAAAAATGTTATGTAAAATTGAAAATTATGCAAACAAAAAAACAAAACATTTTTAAATTTGTAATATAATCTAAAAGCTTAATAAATTTGTTTGCAAAATAAAACTATGGCAGAACAATTAATAAGCAAAAATTGCAACAAAAACATCAAAAGCAATATGATTCTAAATGTAGAAATATAAAATGGAATTTATAAAACGCAAATTATTTAATAAAATGCTAAGAAAACAAAAAAGAAAAACAAGAGGGCTTGGCGATGAATCAATATTTGGTTAATTAAAATAAGCCAAGGGATTTAAAGAGAAATAGATGGAGAAAATGAAAATCTCTTAAAACTAATTATAATGAAAAAAAGTGAATAGTTTAATGATTTGAGGTAATAATAACAAAACAAAATTTGCAAATTTTGAATGGAATGAATCTATTTCATTTTAAACTTTTATTTATAAGTAAAAAAATAAATACCTTGCAATGCCATGATTCTTTAAAGCGGCCGTACTTGTTATTTCAATTTGATTGTCCAAAAGTGTAGTATTGCCAGCATGTTTTTTACCCTCTTTGCTAAACTGACGGGAGGGTATTAACAAATGACCATAAGAAATATCCTGAAAATTAAAACAAACAAAAAAACAGCTTAACATAAAGATATTAAGAAGCAGAAGAACACTAAACAAACCTGGCCACTTTCTCCTCTTTCAATACCCAACAAATCGAATGGATCAAAAGGAGCATCATTAATAGCCGATAAAGGACGAGAACCGGAAGTATTACGTCTACGGCCCTCTTTGCGTAATTCAGCTCTAGAAAATAACAAATACCATTAATATTTTATAAAAATTATAAAGAAATTTCTAGAAATTACCTGCCATTTTTACCCTTATAATAGGGCAAAGCTGAAAATATGAAAAATGGTACCTTACGTGATACCAAAACGACACGTTCATCTTTATATTGATGCTGTTTGTGTGCTTGTGAATTCATATAACGTAAATCTTTAGAATCGTTGATTTGTACTGATTTTGTTATACTGCCACGATTACTAAATGAGCCGGGTGTTAAACTTTCCGTGCTGCTATCATCTGTTATATGAGAAATCGTGGAACTTATTATATTATAAGGTCTTTTTGTAACACCAACACCACTGGCACCAAATGCTGCTAAAGCTGTACCACTACCGCGCATACCGGGTGCCGTATTAAGTCTAGCTCTAGGTTGTATACCAGAGGTATCACATGCACCATTGCTAAAGGTTCTGTAAAGAGAGGAGAAAAACAATTTGGGAATTAGTTTCAAATTTTTTTAGAAATATTTGTATTTTTTTATAAAAGTAAATAAAAATATAATTCTAGATGAAAATAGATGTCGTATCAAGGGCTACAAAACTACTTTTAGGTGTAAATAAACTTCTTTTCCTTATATGTAGCACGAACTTTATTAACAAGATCATCCAGTCATTTTTGTTTTAACAGTTAATAAAACAAAAAGATTTTTGCTTTAAAGATCACTAACTCACTTCTCTTACTCTATTCGACCCTGAATGACTAGCTAGAGCTGTTCTATTTCCAGGCTTTTAAAATGATCTATTCGGTAACAGGCTAGCAGACTTTTAAAACACGGGTTCAAAAACCACATTTAAAATATAAAAAATACATACGATCAAGCAATACTATCAGTAAAAACCAAAAGACAGACAAAATGCTTAAATGAAACAACAACAATTGCAATTCAAAAACATACAAAACAACAACAATAAATTCAATAATATTAAAAAAAAACTCAAAAAGGGCCTTGAAATTTAATTTACAAAAATAACTTTTAAAGATAAAAACCAACAATAAAACATAAATAAATAAGTAAACATGTCTCATTTATATAAAAAAAAGAGAAAGATAAGGTATATCTTGCTCTTTTATATAGAAATCCCCCTTTAAATTATATACCTATTTTTCTTTTTTTCACATAAAAGGGCTTGCTTACTTGGGGGATCCCTTTAAATAAACAAAACAAGAATTATTTAAAATCAAAACGGTTTTTTGGAGCTAAACTATTAGGTTATCATAAATTTTAGTAGGCAAACTCAAAAATCTTAAAGAAATAAATAAAACAACAAAAAATCTCCAACATCAATGTTTTAAAACCTATTAAATGTCCTTCAAATTATGTAGAAATATATTAAGCATTCGGACTGTAGTAAACATGTGCGTGCAAGTGTTTAGCTGAGAGTTTTGTATGTGCTTCGTTGACATACCGACTTACATTTGCTGCTGCAACAACAACATGTGTGGAATTTTAAATATTTCTTGTTGTTGTATGTTTTACTATATTTAATTATCTTTTTTTGTGGAGCAGATGTTGGTGAGTAATTGATTTGCCGGTTTGTAATTGTAAACACGTGTTTGTAAACAAAAGTGCATAAATGGGAGAGAAAGAAGAAACAAGGAGCTGGATTTTCTAACTTCGTTACTAAGTTATTATACCCTACACTACTATCGTGGGGAGGATATTATACGTTTGTGCTGATGTTTGTAACACACAAAAATATTGGTCCTACAACCACCTTAAAGTATACCGATCGATTCAGAATCACTTTTTGAGTCGATTAAGACATGTCCGTTCGTCTGTCCGGCTGGCTGGCTGTCAGGCCGCAATTTTCAAGATAATTTGATTAAATTTGGGCCAAACATTTTTTTTGGCTTAGGGCACAAGCCTATTGAAAACGGTTGAAATCGGTCGATTATTTCACCTAGCCCCCATACAACCGTACCACCCGATTTGGGCTTTTTATGCCATAATTACGTCAAATATACTATTATCTCTCTAAAAATTGCCACAAATATGTTTTATATAAGTATAAATGACACTGCAGATTTTTGCAATGATCGGCCCTTATTTGACCCTAGCCCCCCTACAAACCCCCCTTCAAAAAATGTCTTAAACGTCTAAAATTGACTTGTAACCATTTGTATCGCAATGAAACTCAACATAACTAACTGTTATTTAAAAATATATCCTTTTCCCAAATTGAATGAGTATCGGCCCATGTTTGACCTATACTCCTATATAATTATATATTTATATTTAGAAAATTAGTTTTTTTTATCAATAAATTGCTTAAATACTTTGGAATTAAGGTCAAATTCAACATAAAAGTTTCTTTATGAAAAATAAAATTTTTTAAAATATACTCATGGTGTAGGGTATTATATGGTCGGCCATGCCCGACTATACTTTACTACTTGTTTTTTAGATGAAAATAGACTTCGTTACGATGAAACTTTCTAGACGAAAATAGACTTCGTTACGAAGTTATTTCTTAGACGAAAATAAACCTTGCCAAGGAGTTATTTCCTAGATGAAAATAGACTTCACTACGTAACTTCGTTACGAAGTTATTTCCTAGACGACTTCTAGTTATTTAGACTTTGTTACGATGTCATATTGTAGACGAAAATATACTTTGTTACGAAGTTATTTCCTAAACGAAAAAAGACATCGTTACGAAGTTATTTCCTTGACGAAAATATACTTCATTACTCAGTGCCACATATTCTAAATGAAAAAAGTTATTTGTTTATATTTCTCCATTTTAATTATCATTTCAACAAATTATTATTACCTATTTCCCCTATAGCTGTTGTTTTGTTTATAAGCCCCCAACCCATTCCATAACGAATTGGACACTCAATCATACCCCTCCATTCATCATAAATCATTTTCACTTTTAGAAATTTGAATATTATTGGTATTTCTACCAGGCCAACAGAAATTCTAACAAACAGAAATTAACTACTATTTCCAAACATAACAACAAAAAAATAAAAAACAAATAAAAGAAAAACAAGAGAATCCCAAACACACGCACAAAAAATTTTAATTTATTTATGTTTTGTTATAAATATTCTATAGCTAATTAAAACAACAACCTGCCTGCTGCTTTTTTTTTTCTATACAAAATATGGTGAGCCGCCCTCAGTCAGTCCCTTTTCTACTAATTGTTTTTGTAATTTATATTTTTGTTTTGGTTTTCTTATCTGTTCTTTGTTTTACTTTTCTCTTATTAGTATTCAGTTGTGTGTGTGTCCCTTTCCACTCACTCACTCAGTCACGCATTTTCATTTTAGTTACTAAAATTTAGTAGTTTTCTTTTACGGAATTCAAATTAAAAATTGTTTTCGTATGCGTTAGGTTTGTTTTTCTCTTTTGTTCTCTTTCATTTTTTCCCCAAAAACCTCAAGTGATTTTTAGGTTTTTGTTACTAATTAGAAAAACTTTCTTAAAATTTTGAGCGCCTGGTAAAAAACTCCAACTAATTAACGGTTTATATTTCTTAAGCTCCCCATAGAATTTTAGTGAGGTCTATGTTGTATGTGTTTGTTGTATTTTTAATTGCTTTCGTTGTAAACATGACACTTGACATTACCGTAACGTACTATCCATCCATTTCACTGTTTAGCGTGGTTTTTGTTCTTTTAATTAATTATAAGCTTCTAATTGGTGTAAAATTTTAATTGGCTTCCCACATCTACGCACTAAGATGTAGAGAGCAAAGCTTTCTGTTCATACCCCCGAAAAGTGTATAGAATGAATTTTTAATTACTGTTTTTTCTTGGCTCTTTCCCTCCTCTAGTCTATAAGCATTTAAACAGTTTTTAAAGGAATAAAATGATTCTCAATTCGAAGAGATTTTCTGTCGAAATTGTACTTTGGTTTGAGGTTATTTTCGGCACAGAAATATACTTCGTTACGAAGTTGTTTTCTAAAAGGAAATAGACTTCGTTACGAAGTTATTTTCTAGATGGAAATATACTGCGCTACGGAGTTATTTTCTAGACGGAAATGGACTTCGCTATGAAGTTACTTTATAGACCGAAATAGACTTCGTTACGAAGTTGTTTTCTAGATGGGAATAGACTTCGTTACGGAGTTATTTTCTAGACGGAATAGACTTCGTTACGAAGTTATTTTCTAGATGGAAATATACTGCGCTACGGAGTTATTTTCTAGACGGAAATGGACTTCGCTATGAAGTTACTTTCTAGACGAAAATAGACTTTGTTACGAAGTTGTTTTCTAGTCGAGAATAGGCTTCGTTACGAAGTGGTTTTTAGACGGAAATAAACTTCGTTACGGAGTTATTTTCAAGACGGAATAGACTTCGTTACGAAGTTATTTTCTAGATGGAAATATACTGCGCTACGGAGTTATTTTCTAGACGGAAATGGACTTCGCTATGAAGTTACTTTCTAGACGAAAATAGACTTTGTTACGAAGTTGTTTTCTAGACGAAAATAGGCTTCGTTACGAAGTTGTTAATAGACGGAAATAGACTTCTTTACGAAGTTATTTTCTAGTCGAAATTGGACTTCGTTTCGAAATTATTTTCTAGTCGAAATTGGACTTTGTTACGGAGTTATTTTCTAGGCGAAATGGTACTTTGTTATGAAATCATTTTCAAGACGAAAAAGACTTAGTTTCGATGCGTTTTTCTTTGGACAAATAAATGGAATTTATTTTATTAAATTATGAAAAGAATTTACTCTTTTATAGCTTCCTATAAAAACGTCAATCCCAAAGCAGCACGTGTTTTCAGCACTTGTTTTTATGTTGTTTTCTTAAAAAAAAGTATTTTTCCATAGCAGAGTTCTTTATATTTATTTATATTTTTCGTTTTCTGGTCTATTACCGTTATAACTTTGTGCCTCCATAATAAGGAAAAAAATGACAACGACAACAACAACACTAAACCAGTCAGTCGCTGTATATATTTTGTTAATTCAACATAATTTATTTAACCTCGACCTAGGACCAATTAACTGAAGGTAATTTACTAGGCTCTCAGCATTCATAAGACAAAAACCAATGCACTGCCCCTCTCCAACAACTTGGTATAATCAACACAACACAACATTGTTGTTTTGTAAATAAATGATTTATTTATGGTTGAAATAGCTATGTTGTTGTTTTTTATAATTATATAAAAAAACAGAAAAAAACTAATGAGTAGATTTGTTTTGTTGTATTTATTGTGTGTGAGTGTTATCAATAGATTCTCCCCTCCCTATTTCCATTTAAATTTTAAAATGAGCGAGACAAGTGCAGGAGTTTGTAGGAAAGTGTGTGTGTGTTTGAGTGTATAAAAGTATAAGTTTTGTTTACTTACCCTGCCAGCAATTTTGTAGTCGACTACGAGAAAAATTCACTTCTAGTTTACTTTTACAGACTGACTATAAGCTAACTACAATGTAATGCAGA